GACGCTCTCCTGAATCTCTGATACCTACGCTCCTATCAAGTGTGTTGATCCACTAGCAGATGAAATGTCGGCGGACGATTCATCAGATACCAATGATAGCACTCCCAAACCCAGACGCTTCACTACGATCGAGGACACTATCAGGTTTACATACCTATGTATGACCTCACTACATCCGAACCAACGCTTCGTCGAAAGCGCCCGCCAAGCCGCCCAGTTTTTCAAGCGCAAAGTCTCCTACGTTTACCGAGGTAATAACGTACACCTATCCATAACACGTCTAAATCCTAACCCACACCAACCAATGGCTCATCTTCCCCGTTAATTAACATTCGCGGACCTTAAAATTTGTACAATAAACACAAACAGATGGAAGAGAAAAAAGAATAACATAAAATACACAGTAAATAATGATTCTATACACATTCTCGCACTACAAGAAATCACGCACGGCAATACATAGCACAGTATAATATCTACCGAAACGACAAACAACTCCACAAAAAAGGGACGGCGCTAATCATACACAATTCCATTGAGTCTAACCGATTTTTCTTACCACCTCAATTCCATGAGCTCGACTGCTACGCAGCTACTCTGCATCTTCACTCCGGAGACATTTTTATCGTTTTATAACAAACCTTCTACCAGGCTACCAGTCGAGTTTTTATGCTACGTATCAACCATTCCTAGAGCCATAGTTCTAGGAGATTTTAACGTTCGACACGCCAACGGGCGAATACTCGCAAACGCGCTTCTCACATACAATTTATTCCGCATAAGAAGCAAACAAATTTCACCTTTTTAAGCCATCAAGGCTCGTCCATTCCAGACCACATACTCTATACGGACAGAGTCGTGCCACTTTTTTCCGACAAATGTGGAATAGGTACTCTAACAACTAGCGACCACATACCACTATCCGCCACACTTAATATACGATCATGTAAAATTACACCTAACTCGTTTAAAGAAATACGCGATTAGAAGAACATTAATTCCGACAACACCGCGATACAAACGTACAACACATGTGTACAAAACGCGATATACGAAACTGCGCCAGTCAAAATAATAGGCCGAAAACCTCTCCCGCGTGAGATAATTGAATTAATCAAAAAAAAACGGGCTTTGTATAGGCAATTTTCGAGAACCCGCGATCCACTCGTTAAAACAGAAAACAGGCTAAACGCGTTAGTTCGACTCAAAACAAATAAACATCAAGAAAAACGTTGGCACGAAACCTGTTCAAAACTTAATTTTCGCGATTCCAAATTTTGGAAAGAATCACCGGCCAAAAACAACCCACAATTACCCATTTAGTAATCAACGATCAGATCTACAATACAGCGGTAGAAAAATCCAATGCATTCGTAAAATTTGTACGTTACCTACACGGACCCACACTATGACGCGATACACGTCGCGAGAATAGATCATAACACCACAAACTTAATACAAACCGTACAACACAATGAAAATCATATTTTACGCGAAATAGCACAAGACGATGTTACAGACACATTCAGTAAACTAAAAAACAATTCACATGGTGAAGACGGAATCACCAATAGTATCATTAAAAACCTACCTCCCTCCGCTATTGACTAACTTATCACCATATTCAACGCAATTCACAAAACGGGATGACACGGATCCTAATCTATCGACCAATTTCTTTAATAAACAACACTGGCGAAATCTTTGAAAGGATACTCGCGACACGCCTTTCAGACTACTGCAGGGACAAGAACATCATCCCAGACACCCAAGCCGGGTTCCGTAAGGGACTAAACTCCCTTGACCCGGTACTCAAATTACAAACAAGGGCAATATAAGCCATGAATTCGGGCGGTTGTACCCTAACAGTAGCACTCGACTTCGAAAGAGCGTTTGACACAGTTTGGCATAACGGGTTACTATACAAACGATTACAAATTAACCTTTCCCCTTTCTTCGTAAAATTAATTCACTCTTTCTTAACGGATAGACCGTCAAAAATCAAAATAGGGAACACGTACCCCACGGCACGGTTCTTGCGCCACTATTATATAGCATATTTTGTCATGAAATTCCACAGCCCCTCGAAAATTCAATTATCACTTATTGAGCATACGGCGTAAACACCAATTCATGTAACTCTAAAATTAATTTTCAAATCAATCAACTCGAACTATGGCTCAGTAAATGACGTGTAAAACCTAATTCAAACAAAACCCAACTCATTCTATTCAGACACCTTAATCTCGTCACCAAAAAATCCCTTTCAACGAGCGAATGTTACACTACTTAACGCTGAAAACAGAAATAAAATACTTAGGAATCACAATAACACACACAATGAACCCACACACAGGCATCACAAACACACTGGATAGAGTACGGAAACGCACTAACTTAATCTCTTTAATAAACGGTCGAATAAAGACGTGTAATACAAAAACACTTCTCCACACATACAAAACATTTGTAAGACCTCTTATAGATTATCGCGCAGTATCACTAACCAGAGCCCCACCATCACACACACAATGTACTCACAACCGGGAAGTGCATTTTACGTAAAATCGCGTGCCTAAATAGATTCTTTCCTTCCAACACATTACACGATAACATTGATATCACACCACTCCCCACACGCATAAACACACTACAAACAAACTCCGCTAAAAGAGCCATCGAAAACACCAACCCCATCACAACAAATACCCTATCCCACATACTCCGAAGGATCACACAAAAACCAAAAAACAAAATCCCCTTCCCCCTGCCAAATTATTGGCAACCACTCTCGACCTCCCTGACGAATACCTCAATTACCTGGATAACCTTAACACAACCAACCAATTCCTTAAAATAACCCCCCCCACACACATACAAACGCATTCTAAAAAACACAATCACATAAAACTCTGAACAACAATTGGCTGAAGAGGACCTTATTTGATCCTATAACGGCCTCAGGTAGAGGGGTTTTAGTCGGTACGTCCGAGGACGGATGGCTGGGTGTCTTGTGAAGATTTCCCCTCTACCACGAAAACAAAAAAGAAGGATCGAAATTCAGTCGAGTCGCAACTGTCGTACGAGTCGGTCGATTGCTTGCGATATTTCTGAGTTTGAGTGACAAGTGAACGTTCTATTATACTGTTTTAATACAGATCCTCATATTACGTGCATTATATTCACTAATAAATATATAGTCGTTGAAAACAGGCGGGCTTTTGGCTCCGCTGCCCACAAAGCGGCCAGTGAATTACAAACAATATGATGGAAACTAGCGATATAAGTGAAATTATTCGGAAGAAGGACGAGGAAATAGGGAATCTTAGTCAGCATATTGAGACCTTGCAAGTGGAAATTAGTGAGCTCACAGAAGTAATAAAAGGTATGTCGGCGTAATTGGTAGCAAAGGGCATTTTAGATGACGACAGCTTCTCAGATAGCGCTTCATCAACCATTTCGAGCACAAGTCATGCTAGTAATACCAAAAGGAAAAGAAAAGCGGCTAACAGGTACAACAAAGATCAAAAGAAAACCAAACATAGTAAAGCAAACAAAGTAAAAAAATTACCCGAATATTTCAGTTCAAACACATCCAATCGCTTTGATACTACAAGCGAAAAGGATGTTTCAAATAACGCTAAGTTGAACATGGAAAAGGAAATAAGCTCCACTTTAACCCTGGAGAAAATCCCGACGAAAAAAAACCAACCTACCGAAAATGAGAAAAAACCACAAAAAAACAAAATGTAAGTTAATCCGCTGTTAGCCAAACAAACAATTAGAGGTTACAAAGAAATTGAAGACGGCATCCAGGTGCCAATAGTAGAAGTTCTGGAAACAGAAAAAGAAGACACGAGGGTAAACACAAAAGAAAGACAGAGAAAACAGATACGAAAAAATACCAAACAATAAGAGAAGGGATCCAAATATCAAAAATATCAATAATTAAGAGCTCCTACATAAAGGAAGGAGTGCGTATATTTACAGAAACAGAAAACGACTATAGACGGGCAATTAAGTTAATAGACGCACTAGGAGCTGATAGGTATACTTTCAGTCTGGAGGACGAAAAGGATATAATGATTGTGTTTGGAGGAGTCCTACAAGAAATCTTAATAGAGCAAATTCAAGATCTCCGGGACAAGGTTTACATTTTTAAGACTGTAATCAGTATGAAGAAAAGCAGACATGTCAGTTATCCCATGGGAATTGTCACAACAGAAGAAACACCGGAGGGGAAAAAACTGTTCCAAGTAACAGAGATAATGGGGCTACGAGTGAAGGCTGAGCCAAAGAAAAAAGCAACAGCAGAATCACAGTGCTACCGCTGCCAACTATATGAACATGTACAGTTCCGGTGCACAGGCCAGTGGAGATGCGCATTCTGTGGCGATAATCATCCGTCTTTCGAGTGCAAAAAACCAAAGGGATCAGACCTCCCTGCAAAGGCAGTCACATGTCTTTTTCGAAAGAATGCTCGGCACATCCGAACAATATCAAAGCAAAATCAATACAAAAGAAGGCAAGTTTGATCGAGGCTGCAACAGTCCAAGAGGGACAGTCATATGCAAAAGTGAAAGGAAAAACATAGTGGAGGAGAAAAATGAAGATAACCCAATTGAAAAAGCGGTTGAAAGGGTCTTAAAAAAGTTCTTGCCAAATATGCTAAAAAACATTTATGGATAAAACCCAATCATTGGTAAATAGTCAAGATCAAATAATTTGCACTTGGAAAGCAAATGGTATCAGAAAACGTAAGGAATAACTACGCATATTTCTTAGCGAGCAAGACATTTTAATACTACTATTAACAGAGACCCACCTGAAAACTGGAGACCATTTCTACTTACCATGGTATACAGTAGTTTGCTGAGATAAAACAGACCGTCCCAGAGGCGGAGTAGTCATTGCAATTAAAAGTATTCTGCACAAACGAGATTCCCCTGGATACTACCGCGAAGACAGTGGGAATTGAGACAAACATTAATAATAGAAAAATGATAATAATAGCCATTAACAAACCCTCGGAGAAGAGGATCCAAGAGAAGGATCTAGAAACAATTTTACAAGAGTCAAATACTCAGATAGGGGGTGATCTGAACTCGAAACACCCGGCATGGGGAAGCAGAAGCACGAACCCGAATGACAGGATTGTATACAAAACTCTTAGCAAAATCACAGGAGTCAATTTCTACCGCCCTGAAGATTACACCACAATACTAGAAAACGGTACCCAAGGCGATGTTATAAATTTCCTCATAGGATATAGAACAAAGAAAATACAGTCCACGCAAACGCTAAACCATTTATTATCGGACCACTTCCCGGTCATCATAACAATGAACACCCACCAACAACAAAATACGAGAAACAAGAGAACAAAAACTGACTGGATCAAATTCCAATACATAAGCCACAAAATAAGTGGGCAGCCCACACTGGAAAACCCAACGAAAATAGACGAGGAGGCCCAAAAAATCGAATAGGAAATAAAGGCAGCGATTAGTGAGTGTACGACAGAAATACGAACCAACGTCAATAACAGACATGGGTTAGCGCAAGAAGAAAAACCACTTGTAGAGGAAAAGAACTCTATAAACAAGAGATGGCAGAAATACAGACGGGAAAGCGACAAGATCAGGCTTAGAGAAAAACAAAGCAGGATAAGCAGAATATGCAATCCATATAATGAATGTATAACAAAATCATACACCAAAAACCTGGCAAGAACTCATAAAATAATAAAGCTGATAAGATCATGGCTGTCAGACCGACCCTTCAAAGTAAGAATTAAAGAAGAAATATCCCAGAGAAAAGATGCAAAAAAAGGTCTACCACAAGGATTACACACTCACTCACATACACACTTACACTCATACACACCTTTCGACGATTACGATGGTCATCACCTTTGGCACTCCCGGGAAGAGGACTGGGGCCGTCTCGCCAAGCGATGAGCATTACGAGTATCATGAGAACGTAATTCGCAAGCGTAGACACTCCGACTCCTCTCACTCATCACCATCTTCCCCTACCTATTCCTCCATGTGGTGGAAGTGTCCCAAATCTCTTTCCCTCCAATCTTCGAAGCCTTAATTTCCGACATACCGGACAAATTTTATTATTTTCCTTACGTTAAACCGTTTTCCGCGGTAACAAAGCGATTGTCTCATCAAAAGATCCCGACATCGTAAAGAAACTTTCTCCCCTCAAGGCTCTTTTGTCTGAAAATGTTGTTTCTCATTTTTTCAGGTTTGTAATTTATCTTATAACTCAGTTGTAAATAGTGTAAATAGCCTTATAATATAATAAATCTCATTTTCTCAGAGAAACGTTCCAGTTTGTTGTTATATTAATCTTGCCCAAGTTAATCATAATTAAACTACATATTGTATATATACAATGTACAATATACAGGGTGTCCCAGTTATAATAATTAAAAAAAAAAAACATGGCTTCCTGACACAAAATACAACAAAAAAGTGTTATACAATTTTTTGTTGTA